ATGAACCGGATCGACCTCCTACGCTTCCTCTCCAAGCCCGCAAAGTACGTGTCTCTATCTCCTCCCTTCTCTTTCAGTCTGCTGCAGAGCTCCCAACCGCTGGAAACAAGGTGCTGGTCGCCCATGGACCAGCCATGCTTCTGCAATCTACCATCCTTCTTCTCCTCATGTTACTAACAGCTTCTCCCAGGCCCAGATAACACCTGCTGATATTCTAAGCACCAACATACCTCGACTGACTGCCCATACGAGCCTCTTTGTCTCCCTCGTCCGTAGCCTCAAATCCCGATCACGCAGATAACCTCGTCTGCTAGGTCCGATACTCCACCACAGGTATCGGTGTCTGCCAGAGCGAGGCCCTTCTATCGAGCCAACATTCCGCTGCCAAGGGTCTTTTTCCTACCCCTCCAAGCCCGGCCTCCCTAACGTCCTTTCGAGTGACGTTAAAACCCCTCTATCAATACCATTGCTGCTGGCTCCGCCAGCCTCAACGAACGTCCACCCTCCTGTGGGCCTACTCTCTCAAACGAACGCCGCAAAGTTCGTTTGAGTGGTAGCTAGTGTCCCGCGGACTTCTAGCCCTCCTGTTCCGAGAACACCACATCTCCATCTCGTCAATAATCTCCCGGGTCGCGCCCAGATAGCCCGCCCCGCTGAAGATGGTCAACCTCTCGGTCCCCAACAACTACACCTTCTCTCCGTCTGAGGCAACTCCCCATCTGACCATCAATCACGATGTCGCTGCCGATCTAGACTCGAGCAACGCCTTTGAGGGCCCCGAGAAGCTCCTCGAAGTCTGGTTCGCTCCTGGTCCTGACGCTCTCCCCGCGAGCGCCCAGCCCGATGGACTGAAGGCCGTCTCCGCCGACACTTGGGTCACCATGCTCGACATGGTCAACTGCAAGATCTTGTCCGTCCTCGAGTCCGACTCCGTCGATGCCTACCTGCTCTCCGAGTCCAGCTTGTTTGTGTTCCCCCACAAGCTCATCCTCAAGACCTGCGGCACCACGACTTTGTTGCTGGGCTTGCAGCGTCTGCTCCACATCGCTGCTGAGCACGCTGGATTCCCCTTCCACAACGCAAAGGAGGCCACCGACATCAAGGCTGCCGCGACCCCCTACCGCGTCTTCTACAGTCGCAAGAACTTCCTGTTCCCTGATCGCCAGGAGGGTCCCCATCGCAGCTGGAAGTCGGAAGTCAAGTACCTGGACGACATGTTTGAAGGCGGCAGTGCTTACATGGTTGGCAAGATGAATGGAGACCATTGGTACCTGTACATCACCTCGCCCAACCAGACCTTGACACCTCCCCGCACTCCCGAGGAGAAGGAGACTCCTCTTGGGTCTGCGTCTCGTATCCCGACTGGCAGCGTTGCCAGCTTCAGCAGCGGTGTCGAGGAGCACAACGACGAAACTTTGGAGATTCTCATGACCGACCTCGACCCTGAGAATGCGAAGCAATTCTATTTGTCGCACGCGAGTGCGGTCGCTAGCGACAAATCGCATCTGCTGCAGACTCAGGCTGCTCGAGACAAGGCCCACGAGAGCTTGGGCGACCTTTCCCAGGTTCCTGAGAAGAGTTCTGATGAGGAGGTGGACGTTTTCAGCAACATTGGCGAGTCGGACCTCACCGATGCTGACCGCGCTGTCAAGGAGGCTATGACAACGGAGGGCCATGCTCTCGGTACCGTCGTGTCTGAGGGATGCGGTCTGTCCAGCGTCTACCCCACGAGCAAGTACCCCGGTGCGCGTGTCGATGCCTATCTCTTCAGCCCCTGTGGCTTCTCCGCCAACGGCGTCGTTCCTGCCATCACCGACGATGAGGACGCGTCCAAGAGCGAGAAGGGGGCCAACGCTGCTCACTATTTTACCGTCCATGTGACCCCTGAGCCCGACTGCTCGTTTGCCTCTTTCGAGACCAACGTGCCCGGCGGCCAGAGCGGCCGTACTACCGCGGAGATCATTGAGCACGTCGTAGAGATTTTCAAACCTGGACGTTTCAGCGTTACCCTGTTCGAGGCCAAGGGGAAGAGTGCCAACCCCTACGGTATGGGTGATTTTGTCTCCAGAACTACTGCGGCCCAGCGTTTGGTTGACCCTGTCCGGGGATACCGTCGTATCGACCGCATTGTCCACGACTTTGAGGACTACGATCTCGTGTTCCGTTTCTACGAGAAGGAGGACTGGGCGGGTGATCGTGAGGCCCGCCTCGGCGAGCTGATGTAGGGGGAAAACGGGATTGCGGAGGATACAGTCTCTTCCGTCTTGCTGGACAACCTATTTCCTTGACTTGCCGTAGTTCATACTCCTAGGGCCCGCTCCCAACTTCCTCTCCTTCTCTCGGGGCACTTTGCGAGTAGCAAACCCCCTGCCACTTGCCATCCATCGGCCCGCGCCATATTTTGAACCGAGACAACCTTGGTCCACCACAATACATGATTTTGAGTTATCTTCAATTGCGGCATGATTCGTTGAACCAATGACAACCTGGCTAGGTTGACTGGCCCTGTCCACTAAACCTCGCAAGACGTAGCCCATCTCGAGGCCATCTCGATTTAACGTGGAGGACGATCGTGATTCACGATGCTAGATAAGTGTTAGGTCCTCAACATCGATCCGCCAGCCTCTCTTTGGGGTTCTTGACTGAAGGAAAATGTTCACGATGGTATGCTGTTCGCAACCGGCTGCATCTGGGGTCTCCAACCTCCAGCTGCTTTCCACTTCAGCCAAAGTACTTGTTAGGACAGCCCTTGTGTGGAATGCACCAGGCTGATCTGCAGTTTAGGACCTTATCCCGTCGTAGACCCTGTCCTACAAAGGCCTCCGGCCCCCAAAGCTTGTCTTACATTGGAATGTTCCCAGGCCCACCCGCCACAACAGCAAGCGTTGGCCGCCATCGTGATTGACCAGCAATTTTCCAGCCATCCAACGCACAGCGATATATGAACTTGCGCAGGAACAGATAGATGAATCCCCGAAAGATCAAGCGAAACCTGCATGATCAAGTCAATCCAGCTCATCCTCATACCATGGCGCCTCCTCCGAAAGACGACGCCGTGAGCGTTGTCGAGTCGCTGGATGTCAAATCATCTGTATCTGGGAGCGATGTTTCCACAAAGTCTCCACCGAAGCCTCTTCCAATTCTTTTGAGCATTGCCATGTTCCTCCTATTCATTGCGTCAGGCGGTGGTTTGACCACCTCCGCTCTCCAGTTCAGGCCTTCAAGATCGGGGAAGCGGGACTGTCTCACTCAAAGCTTCATCCTGTTCGCTGTAAGTCCTCGTCACTCGGCACGCACGCTCACTGGAATGCTCGCTTACACTTTTGCTAGTCCATGATTTCGCCCATGTATCTCGTGCTGCACCTGCTCGTCTCCTTCCGCAACTGCCAGTTTATCAGAAGACAGTCTCTGCAATCGCCTCTGGTCTCTTGGGCCATCATCGTCTCCCGCCTGGCCCTGCTCCTCTGGATTCCGGCAATCATCTTGTCGTGTGGAGCCGTTGCACACTTCCCAGGGTTTCTCGCGGAGAGCCCCATCACGGAGCTCAACCTGGCGGTGTCCATCGTGGGGATGTAAGTGTTACCCAAACCTTGCAGATGTATACCATAGTCTGACCTCCCTCCAGCGCCAGTGCCATAGTGGTTGTCCTTGTTCTGGAAATCGCGGCGCATCCCTTCGAGCTCCCCTGCTTCAAGCGGGCCACTACCGTCATCCTCGTCGAAGACGCAGACAAGGAAGCCAAGCCGGAGGAGGAGCCAAAGCCACCCAGCCGCCCCCCGAGCCGCCAACAAACGCCGCCGGCATACTACTACTTCCCTGCCAGCTACAGACACACCGTCCCGGCACCCGCACGCGCGAAGCTCGTCCGCAAGGCCAGCTACCCCAAGCACCTTATGGCCCAGAACGTCCCGCCTGTCCCCGCCATGCCGTACCCGCACCCGGACTCGCTCGGCATCATGCTCCCCATCCCGGAGCCGCTTCCCCCGCTGCCGGAGCTCGAACAGACGAACCCTAAACCCAAGATCAAAATTACACCGGCCCCTCCCGACATCCTTATTCCGGGAAAAGGCCTCCCGGCGGACAAGAATAAGCCTTGCCCACCTCCGCCGGGAACTGCTTGGGCTAGGGATTGGGAACAGCTGGCGGTGGACGCCGGTGTTAGGCGGAACGGGTCTGTAAGCGACTACGGGTCCTCCGCCGGGACGGAGACTACGGATGGGCGGTCGGAGGTGGGTGGGACCGCGTTGAAGCCGCCTCTGCCGTCCATCATTGTCACACACAGTCCTGAACCGGTTTGAGAATGGTAAGTATGTTGTCGTATGGATTATGGATGATGATGAGGTAACGGGTAACGAGGGATGAAGCGTGTTTCTTGTTTTCAACATTCGATCACCATGTATTATTTCTTTTGTTCCTCCCTTTTGTATAGTCGCTACATGATGTCTGTCTAGTCTCAGTGAACAATCAAGTAATTTGGTTTCATTGCCATGTTTCTAGGACCCATCGACACGTTTTCTCGCCCTGCCGAATTCCTCCATGTGGCTTGGTCTCGTATCTCGCATCGGCTGAGATCGTCCCCCGTTGTCTTGGGGGCATCAGCAAGCCACGTTTCTTGGCGTCGTGTTTCGTATTGCACCTTGTTTCCGCGCAATTCAAGATCTGCAGCTGAAATTTGCCCGTGGCCAAGGGGTCTTGAGTGAAGTTGCCCAATGCCACATTCATGTTTTTGGTGGCACGCTGACCAAAGAGAGGCGCCAATCGGCGCCACATCGTGAGTTTTAAAGTAGCTGATCTTGGCGTAGAGGATCTTGCAGAGGGCGCAGTTGAATAAGGGTGGCATCGCAAGATGCACTTACGTCAGATCATGCCGGGGCATTCTTACGACACGCTTTGGCTGCACGCTGTTTCGACGTAAATAAAAGATGAACTACGACCTTTTGATAAACACGTTATTGTATTGCATGCTTTGTCGACATGTCAATTGCTCGAAAGCTGTAACCATGCGAGTAAACCAATCCCTTCTGCTACCACTTATCGTGGTCTCCGCGCAACCGACTGTCATGATATCTTCAGGGGCCGTCCAAGGCATCTCAACGAACATTGGGGACGGGGTGGTGACAATAAACAAATTTCTCGGGGTCCCGTACGCTACGACACCAGCCCGATTCTCCCGTCCGGAGTCACCAGAGCCATGGACAGAGCCTCTTGATGCCACGGAATTTGGCCCAGCTTGCTATCAGAATTTCGGTCTCAATGGTTCGTCCACAATTCTCGAAGCTGGCATAGTGTATACTAATCCACAACCTAGAACTCGGTCCTCGTCCCGAACTTTTGCAGACTCTGTTCAACACCCCAAAAGCACCCGAGAGCGAGGATTGTCTGCGCATCAACGTCTTCGCGCCGGACTCTACGTCTAACGCCACCCGGGCAGTGTTGGTCTTCATCCATGGCGGAGGCTACCAGATGGGCCACGCAAGGATTGATCTCTCCTCTTTCGCAGCGTATGAGGACATCATCGTGGTGAGCCTCCAGTACAGAACAAACGGTCCGGGCTCCTCCTCTCTGTCATACATGCGCTAATGTGACCTCAAGTCTTTGGGTTTCCCTCCTCGCGCGACATCCCCATCCCGGAACGTAACTTGGGGCACTATGATCAGCGTTTCGCTTTCGATTGGATTCAGCAGAACATCGAGGCCTTTGGAGGTGATCCTGGCAAGGTCACTATCTGGGGTCAGTCGGCAGGGGCTCTCTCAGTTGACCAGCATCTCAAGGCGTATGCCACCGAATTGCCTCTACCATTTCGCGCCGCAATCATGTCGAGTGGCCAAACAAGCTTCGGTCTGCTCGCATCACCTTCTCCGAGTGATGGGAAAGAGTGGTCGGCACTTGCTGCCGCCGTTGGCTGTGCGAACTCGACTGGCGGCTTGGAATGCATGAAGAAAATCCCGGCTGAGGACCTTGTGGAGGCCATGTCGAAACACAGCATTTCATTTGGGCCTGAACTAGATTATGTCACCGTCTGGGGCAATCCTGCTGAGCTGTGGAGGAGCGGCCAGGTTACCAGAGTCCCAATACTGACCGGAACAGTGGCTGAAGAGGGAAGAAGCCTTGTGAATAATGAGGTTGACCTCGCGAGCTGGCTTGAAGCATATCTACCGGATAGTCTGGTTAAGGAAGAAGACAGAGAGGTGATAGTGTCAGTCTATCGCACCAATGGCTTGACAACCGACTTCGATATTGCCTCAGCTATAACCACAGACTTCCTTTGGTTATGTGTACGTTTCCTGGTTTCTCGGATGATACAAAACTGACGCTACGATAGCCTCAGTCTATTCTATCATCCACGGCAGCCTCCCACAAGATTCCATCATGGCGCTATTACTTCAATACCTCCATTCTAAACTTCTTCCCTGAGGATTACGCCTGGCTTGGCAAGTTTCATGGCTCAGAAGCCGTCCTTCTTTTCACTGATCCTAACAACACGACCTATACACCCCAATCCTACCCAGTATATGAGTACCTCAGGGGCGCGATCGGGCGATTTGTCAAGGACCCTAATGCGGGCCCAGGATGGCCAGCCGTTGGTTCGCAATACGCACCTCTAGATCTTGTCGTTTTAGGGGATGTCGGCAACGTCCAAACTGCTGTGACGCCGTTCAATACCACCATCTTGGACGAGAGGTGTGGCTTGTACAAGGGTATCTACTCAAAGTTGGAGGCCATGTCTAGCTAAAAGTATGTCCTCTCGATTGATAGGAGTGAGCTGATGTAGGCGTACTCCGAGACAACACAGTCGCTGACTGGCAACGTCAACTATTGTCACAGGAACGTGGGAGAGTTAAAATCCTTTTATACCCTACAGTATTCTATTCAAAGGGCTATTCAAATCGCTACTCAAATCGAACCGATCATCATTCTCGTACAATTTTGCCGCATTACTCATACAAAAAAGTCCACACGCGCCAATTACACTTACTCATCCCATTGCACACGCATTGTCGTGGGGATAGGCCACAACGAGCTTTGGTCAACAGTCATAAACGCCCTCAGACCAAGCCAAGGCTGTTGATGCGCCGCACTTCCGTTCTGGCCCTCCACAGGCAGACCGACTTGTCCGTTCCACGGGGAAGCGGGGAAGTTCTTCATCTCGCCCCGTCCGCCGGGCGCGCGGCGCAGGTTCTTGAGGCCGACGATCTGCTTGAACAGACTCGTCTGTCCGACGCGAGACATCTCCTTGCCCGCGCACCAATGCGGGCCCAGGCCGAAGTGGACGTAAGAGTCCAGGGGGCGGTCGAGACGAACCTCGTTGGGGTCCTCGAAGATGGCGGGGTCGCGGCCGGCGGTGGCGAAGTTGCAGACCACGCGGTAGCCCTTGGGGATCTTGACCTCGCGCTTGGTGCCCTCGATGTCGGGGTTGGTAATGGGGTCGCGGCCGGTCGGGTCGGACTCGGAGGGCAGACAGGGGGAGTAATCAGTGATGACCTGTGTGGACGTGGCTTCTCTGTAAACTGCGACGGGTCCGCGGAGACGGCAGCCCTCAAGCATGCTATATACTGTTAGCGGTGTTCTTGGAAGAATGATCTTGGGATGCAACTTACTACTTCAGCAAGGTCTCGTCCGCCTCAGGTGTGTTCTCGTGCGCCAGGCGGTACAACTCGGGCAGATGCTTCTTGCCCTCCTTGTCGAGGTAGTAGTCGACGCAGAGAGAAGTGACCTGAGACTGGTTCGCGACGTTGGCCGTGATGACGGGCATGATGGTTCCCCAGACGACTTCCTCGACGTCCTTGCCATCGGAGAGCATACGCTCAATAAGATGGTTGCCGTACGTGGGAAGAGACGCCTCGCCCTCACGAATCTTGGCGACGAGGTCCGTAATCAGGCCCGCCTTCTTGATGGTCTGAGCGATAAGCATCACAACCTTACCGAGATCCTGAGCAAGCTCACGGGCGATTGTGCGAAGCTTGAAGCTGTTGCCAATGTCGGCATCCATGAAGACGGCTTGGAAGAGGGCGCCAAGGACCGAGTACAGCTCCTGGTCGGTGTACACGCCCCACGGCGACTCCTCGTTCTTGATCGGCATGCAGAACAGCGCAGCATTGAAACGGGTGTTTGTGACGTTGATGACGTCCCGGACCAGATCAATCTCCCTCTTGTTTCCGGGGATCGGGAAGCTGTTGAGGTTGAGGATCTTGGGCGTCATGTGAGTGTACCACTTCCAAATTTCCGTCTCCCACGGGCCAGAGATCAGAGACTTGCGGACGAGCGTGCGGTTCTTGGCGTGCTCCTTCCCATCACCAGAGAGGCAGAAGTCCTTGCCATAGTGGGGCTTGTTGGGCTGGGCGACCAAGTGGTTGATAGCGTCGCCGGTGATGACCTTGAAGTCCTGCTGGTTGTAAAGGACCTCGCTGACGGCCTTGTGCGACAGGATAGGGATCAGCGGGGTCTTGGTCTTGGGCTCGTCCCAGGTGTACAGGTAGGCCTTGTCGATGCTCTCGAGGATCTTCTTGTTTTCTGAGGGGATCACGAAGGGGAAGTGGGCGTAGATGCTGTTGTTCTGGAAAGAGTTGGGGAAAGCGCGGAAGACCAGCTTGTAGAGAACGTGGCTCTGGTCAACATTCAGATCGTAGCTGGCTTGATTGAATCTGTAACGATTAGCACCTCCTACTTCCCGGCGGGATATTGAAACTTACCCCCAGTTGGTCAGGTTCTTGGGCGTGTAGTCGATTGTGTAGAAGCGATCGCCGCGAACCAACGCGACCGCATCAGACAAGATGGCCCTAGTCATGGTGAAGTTACCGCAGAGACCACTGCCCGGCGCCATGGGCGGCTTCGCCTTCTCGGCCATCAGGCCGGGGTAAAGCTCGACTGCATCAGGGCTTCCGTACAGGAATCTGAGCTTCGCAGCAACCTCCTTATCAGGGTTGATGTCCTCGAATGTCGGGTGCCTAGTAAGGCCAAAGTGCTCACGGAACTCGTTGAGCGTGGCACAGTTCCAGGAGCGGGATGCCATGATTCCCATCAGCTCAATGGGCCTCATTACCTCGGGAATTCTGTTGGCGCCGTAGGAGCCGGCAACATCGTCGACGGACTCCTTGAAGATCTTGGCCAGGTCCGCCTCGTTCAGTGTGCCGTCGGCGTTGCGAGGCAGGTCCATGAAGCCTCTTTGCGCGGGGTCGTCAGGGATCTCCTGCTCCCAGTCTCTCATCGCATGGCCGAATTCCATCAGCGACATTTCGGTAGGGTCCTTTCCGAGAACCTTCTTCATGACATCCTTCGTCCACTGCTCATCCTTGGGGGAGATTGTGTTGTGCCACCTGTAGATGAGGTTGAACTCGACAGATACTTGGTTTCCGGTGCCCTCGGGGGTCTGCTGGCTGAGAATGCTCTTGCCCTCGTTGGTGCGGGGATCCAAGGCCCAGCTTGACGCAGTGCGGTTCATACCCAGAATAGTGCGGACATAGTCGCGGAGAATGATGCTGACATAGAGACCGCAAGTGATGAGACGAGCAGTCTGGAACAAGTCGTTGTCATACTTTGCCGCCTTCTCCGGGTCGTCGCCAGTTGGCTTCTGGAATCGGCCACCCTCATTGATTCTGCCGATTGTTAGCATTGAACGCAAGTACACAGAAATCGAAAAGCTCACGTTGCCAGGTTGGTAGCGACATAGTTGTGGTAGCGGTTAAACATGATTAAAAGAGTACCAACGCCAGGAGGGAATCCCAAAACTCTCTTAGATGAAAATGTGTCCGGCTTGAGCAGACCGTTCTTCTTCGTCCTCATGAGGTCCTGCTCGGCTTGATTGCGACCGTACAGAGGAGCGAGGTCCAGGTACGAGGAAGTCTGGTTAATGGGTGAAGTTCCATTCTTCTGCAGCCATTTTGTTAGCACTGCGCTGGTGTTCTCGACAGGTGGAGATCTTACAGTCTGGAAGATATCGTGGGTGATGATGGTAGCGAGGTAGAACATGAAGCTGGAGATCTTGTTGGGGTGAGGCTTGAATTCACCACCGCGGGCGAAGAGCATGTCAAAGATCATCTCAGGCTCGGGCTGGTTGGGGTTCTGGTAGCTCTTGGCTGGTGTTGAGCGGGCGTACGGCTGTCCTGCCGCACCCATCTTGGGATCATGAATAGCGTTGCCAGAGCCGTCGGCGGCGCGGTACTTGTGGTCCTCTCCGAGCGTCGTCATGGGAGGGTGGTCGATGCCGTTCCATAGCTGGTTGATCAAGCCGTTCTCTAGCCTCTTGCCCTTGACTGAGTTCTGGGGCAGTTTGGCAAAGAGCTGGATGAGGTGCTCGAGTAACAACTCGTTGTCGTTGATCTGGCCCTCGACGGCCGAAGAAAAGAAGTTTACGAGGGTATCAAAGTCTTCGAAGCCCAGCTTCTTGACATCTTGGATCAGGTTGCTAGGCTCGCCCTGGTCGGAATTTGGGCTGGGAAGAGGCTCTGGGTGAGGAGGCACTGCTGAGATGGCCTTGGTGACAAGCTGGCGGGCTGATGCCAACCTCTCAGCCAGGGGCGGCTGGTTCTTGGGGAACTGCTCAGTATGTGACTGTTGAGACATGTTGTCGATAGATCAGTTCACAGAGGAACAGGTAAGGAGCGATGTCTAGGAACAAGAAGGAGCAGAAATTCTCATCTACTGTTGGGATGGCTGCTTCCTTCATATATAGACATGCAGAGAGATGGCTTTTGGACTACAAGTACGGTTGCGGGACAAACCCACCCCAGTTTAGGGCGAACATGGGGATACGGATACCCTCCTCTCCATAGCCACGAGGACGAGAATGAGGCGCGGATGAATGGGCCTCAAGGAAGAAGTGCTACCGGACTAACTGACGTTGAGGATCAGGCTCTGCACGAGGTAGACGGTAGCTTCAGGTTGGCGCTGAGGTCAGATGTTGGAGGTCCACAAAGGTGTCATGGGTGTTGCTAGCTCGATTATTGGGACTACGCCGTACCTAGACGATGATCCATTTGCGAACTAGAGTCCTGCCAGGGAGCCCGGCCTCTAGGCTTCCCGCCATTAGTCTTGTCAAGCTGCGCAAGTGCGTAGTTTCCGAGGCATGTCAATCGCTCGTCGGTCTTGACCGGAAGAAGCAGCCCCAAAAGGCCCCAAGATTGGTGAAGAAAGATGCAGTTGGTAAAACGCAGGCAGCCATTGGACGGGGTGCGACGCGAGGGACCAACGGGTCCCCTGTCTATCGTGCGTGGCCGAGCCAATAATGGACGATATCGCAGCGCATCTCCTGCATCGTGGGGGCTGCTAAGGCGCAGCTGAACGTACCCTGCGTGCCTGTGCCGTCTGCCTATTTGCGCCGCTGGGGCCGAAGGAGAAGAGCAATGAGGTCGCAATAGAAGCAGCCGATGTTGATTTGTTTGAAATGTCCCTCATTGCCAAATTTGGAGGGGCAGATAGAACGAATGCGGGCAACGCACCGCGCAAGACACACCTGTTGGGTTAGGATGATTAGGATGCTGGGCTGGGGAGCGAGCGGCTGAAGACAATGAGTTCCTGATGTCGCTGACGAGATGCAACGAGGGCCAATCGTTGACGCCTTCTCGTACCTCGCTGGGTTGCCTTAAACCTCACCCTCACTGCGCAAGTCCCCATCTGCGTTCCATCCATCCCTGTTGGCCGAATTATCTGCACCGCCGGAGCGATTCGATGACTCTGTCTCAGATGGAGGGCTTTCGGTGAGTGTCTCTCGCGTGTCCGAGGAACTGTGGGGAGATG